ACCGAGAGACGTTGAGAGAGGCCGGCTTCCCGCTGCCTGCGTGATGTTCTGAACTCAGTGAAGGCATGTCGGAAAAACTCCGACGTGGGTGTTGTGGAATTAGAACTGAGCACTTGTCGTTTTTTAACAGATGCCGTGTCTCCGTTCCGAATGCAGCAGGGGCACGAGCGAGAAACTCGTTGATGCCCTGTCTCAAATTCGCCGAAGTTCTCGCCGAAGTAAATGTCTCGCCGAAGTTCTCCGAAGTAAGATCTTCTCCCACTTCGAGGTAGTTCAGCCAGAATTTTTTCTGGCCCCCGGCGGGGCTTGTCATCCTGTCATTCTGTCATTCTGTCATCGCTGGCCTCCGTGTCAATATCGGCATCATATGCATGGGTTTTTGAGATAGAAGGCAGCACAGTAAAGAGACTGTGTTCAGCCGCAGACTCAATCGCTGTGAAAGCGCGACAATTAACTCGGTTTTCGGAGCACTGGGCTCCGATGACAGAGCGAACTCCGTCTGTCATCGCCTTGTCATCGGCATTTTCGCTCTCTCTGGGGAGGGTGTTCCAGGACTCCACTCTGTGATAGCTACAGGCCTCAGTTCAAGACATAGGTCAGAATTCGGTACTTTGGAGCAGTGTCGATTCGCGGGCCTACGGCCCGCAGCTCTGACGATCTTAGGGGCTCTGAAGTCTTTGCAAAACGGGCTTTAGAGGAACTTTAAGTGCGCGCCTCTGGCCAGCAGCCGACGAGTGCTCGCCGGCAGCTTACGAGCTGCTTACTGGCAACTCACGAGCACTCGCCAGCAGCTCTGCCGGCAACTCACGAGCTGCTTGCTTGCAACTCACGAGCTGCTTGCTCGCAACTCACAAGCTGCTTGCTCGCAACTCACGAGCTGCTTGCTCGCAACTCACAAGCTGCTTGCTCGCAACTCACGAGCTGCTTGCTCGCAACTCACGAGCTCCTGGCTCGCAACTCACAAGCTGCTTGCTCGCAACTCACAAGCTCCTTGCTTGCAACTCACAAGCTCCTTGCAAGCTGCTTGCTCGCAACTCACAAGCACTCGGCAACCGCCTACGAGCAACTCACGAGCTACTTATTCGCAACTCACGAGCTGCCTGCTCGCAACTCACGAGCACTCGCCGGCCGCCTACGAGCAACTTAGGAGCTGCTTGCTTGCAACTCACGAGCACTCGCCGGCCGCCTACGAGCAACGCACGAGCTGCTCGCACGCCCTCCGCGCCGAACAAGCGCGCGTAAGCGCGCGTCGCTCCCCAAACAGCTCCGGAGCACGACGGCGCGCCTCCAAACAGCTCGCGAGCGCCCTTCGCGCCCTCAAAGCGCCTCCGATGCCGCGCACGCGCGTTTTGCAAGCACTTTAGAGCCCCTAAGATTGCGAGCCCTACGGGCTCCAGCCCTTAAAATCGACAGGCCCTCGAAGTACCGAATTCTAGCCTATGTCTCGAAACTAGCCTCGTAGCTACTACAGAGTGGAGTACCGGAACACCCTCCCCAGAGAGAGATTCCATACTTCGAATGCCTGTCGATTTTGCGGGCTGGAGGCTCTAGGGCTCGATCTGAGGGGCTCTAAAGTGCTTGCAAAACGGGCGCGCGCGGCATCGGAGGCGCTTTGGAGGCGCGCCGTCGTGCTCCGGAGCTGTTTGGGAGCGACGCGCGCTTACGCGCGCTCGTTCGGCCGGAGGGCGTGGGAGCAGCTCGTGCGTTGCTCGTAGGCGGCCGGCGAGTGCTCGTGAGTTGCAAGCAAGCAGCTCGTGAGTTGTGAGCAGCTCGTGAGCAGGGCTCGAAGAATTTTCAGGGCTGTCAGTCAATTTGACTGACAGGTTGTTGCGAAATTTCCCGAGCGAGTGCTCTTAAGTTGCCAGCAAGTAGCTCGTGAGCTTTTGCGCAGGGCGCTCGAAGAATTTTCAGGGCTGTCAAGCAATTTGACTGGTCCTGCCGTCGGGTAGCTTGTGAGTTGCCAGCAAGTAGCTCGTAAGCTGGCGAGTGCTCGTAAGTTGCCAGCAAGTAGCTCGTGAGCTGCTGGCGAGCACTCGTCGCTGCTGGCAAGTGGCGCGCCCTTAAAGTTCCTCTAAAGCCCGTTTTGCAAAGACTTCAGAGCCCCTAAGATCGTCGGAGCTGCGGGCCGTAGGCCCGCGAATCGATAGTGCTCGAAAGTACCGAATTCTGACCTATGTCTCGAACTGAGGCCTGTAGCTATCACAGAGTGGAGAGCTGGAACACCCTCCCCAGAGAGAGAAAAAAATCCTCCGGGCCGGCCCCGTACTGGTTAGCTCGGCAGCGGAAACCGCTTCTCTCAGTGCCTCTCGGTGCTGCTCGGTTGCCCGAGCATAGGCTTGCGGAACGTAAGCAGCGAGAGCTCACATGCTGCCCTTGTGCGGCTCCACCATGTGATACCGGCGAGCGTCGAAGCTCACCGGCTTGTCGTGCATGTCGAGCCATCTACCCGGCAGCTCTCGCCTCCTTTTCTTGTCGGCCAGCCAGGCCGTGGAGTCCCCTCGTCATCTTGGTGCAGCCCCATGCGCGGGTTGAAGAGCACAGCTATGGACGTCCAGGTGCCGTTCGGAAAGCGGCTCTTGAGAAAGCTGTTCACGCTGCACAGGCTGCCCGCAGGCCCGTGGCATTGGAGACCCCGACCACGCCGCCGTGCCCGAAAAGCCCCAGCGTGGCATATCGCTCATAGGCCCCCGGCCCCACCGAGGCCACGAAAACTTGAGCCAAACCTAGGGGACGTACCCACCGAAATCGTGCTCTCGCCACAGTTTGGTGCGAAACGGCCCGGCAAAGCCTTTTGGGCCATGCGCGGGCCTTCCCGAGGCTGGCTGTGTCGCTTTTGGCCGGCGGGCCCGGCAGGGTGTGTGAAACATAGGCAGGGCGCACCCCGAGAATCGGAGGCGCGGCGGTTCCGTGATGCTCGGCGATTCCGTATGGCTGTGTTCGACCCATCCTAAACCCTCCCCGAGCACGTTCCGGGGCTTGCCGGCACCGATTTGACAGGAAAGGGACGATCCGGCCGAAGACGTGCTCAAACCCACCGAAATCGGGCTCTCGCCGGTGCGTGGTCGGCTCGCAAAACGGCCGGCTGCCGAGGGCCGTCGGGGCGCACCCTTCCGGGGCGGCTTCAAAATCCAAAAAAATTGGGGTGCGGCATGGTGTTTTAGGGGCATGCGCGTTTTTGGTGCGAAATGCTGTCAATGTAAAAAATGGATTTGGCGTGCCGGAACGCCACGGAGGAGCCGACCGAAGCCAATCTTGTGCGGCTGCTGGATCTGTGGTCGGCCGACTGGAAGCACCGGGGCCGCACTCGGGCGGCCGCTCAGTGTCGATTCGCGGCGAGCCTGTGGCTATCGCCGACCTGATCCGTGGGGGTTTAGGATGCTCACTGATGCTCGCCTTTGCTCACTGATGCCTTTTCTTTTTGATTTGTAGTGTAGCTAGGCCTGCCGACTTTTGCAGTAACGTTTTGCTAGAGTGCTTTTTGCCGGGGTTGCTTTTGGTTTGGTTCAGGGCACCCGAACCCCTTCGGCCCTGTGGTAGGCTTTTGATCCCCGTCTGCCATGCGAGTGCCCTGCATCCCTAACCCGTAGGTTCCCCCGCCCGCGTCTGCACTGCATTCAGGTTTTGTTTTCCGCGCCGCGGTCCACCAGGTAGGGTGATCAGGGTAGCGCAGCAGCACAGCAGCGTAGGAGGCGGCACACACGCACAGCAGCACAGCAGCGCAGCAACGACCCGGAGGCGGCGCGCATCAACAGTAGGCGGTACATTGACCTATAGCAGCAGCATGTCTTCGGAAGAGTCACCCGGTGAGATGGAAAGCGTCTGCGTGGAGGAGTCGGCTGCAGTTGCATTCGCCGAAGTTGGCGGTCTTCTGATCCGAGATGAGGTGCTCGAGGGCGACGTCGGATGGACTGCCAGCAGCACAGTCGGAGAGGTGATTGAGTCGGCCGGGGCCACTTGCAGCTCCGGTGGCGCCGACAGGTTCGAGGGCTGGGTCGTGGGGCGAATGGAGCTCCATCTGTCAAGTTGCGGAGTTCGTCGCTCGTTTGAGGCGACTCTGGAGGACACTGCTCGCGATCACATGGATGTGGCATTTCGGCTTGTTCTCAGAGGGCGCTTTGCTCGTGGAGTAGCTCGTCAGCTCGCCCGCCAGCGACGATGATCGAAGTGCAGCATCGAGGGTTTTTAAAAGTGTGCCGCGTGGGTTTGTCCCTCCGAAACCCTTTCGGCCCTGCTGTAGGTTGCTCACCATCTGCCCTGCAAGTGTTTTGCAAGTGAGTGCGCATCGGAGTGAGTCCCGAACCCGCTAGGCCCTCCCTTCGGCCCTGCATTGAACTTGTTGGTTTCCGCGCTCGCTTTCTCAAGGAGTGTAGGGTAGGGGCGGGGGGGTTGCCGGGCGGTCGGGCGGGCAGGTGGGCTTGCGTCGGGACCTCAGTTTGCTTGGGTTGCTTCGGTGTTCCCCTTCCCCACCCCTTTTGGTTACCCTAGGCCGCCTCTCACTGCCCTGTCCCGTTGCCCTGTCCCCGTAGGCTGCCCCTTGCCCGCGCCTTTCCGCCCAGGTCTGGACCTTCTCCGCCGGCGTGGTGCTCGCAGGGGTTCTTCAGGGGTTGTTCGGATGTTGTGCGGGCTTGGTGTCGTGCGAGTGCAAGTGCACAGGAGGGACCTGCGCTGCTTCCCGTAAACCTAGAGTGCCCTGCATTCCCCCTTCCCGGGAGCCCCGGCCCCTCCTTCGCTTCGCCCAGGTTTTCCTGCGAGCGTCTTCGCCGACTTCGAAACGTCTGGAGCCCTGTGCCTCTGCAAGAGTTGCCTCTTTGAAGCCGGCTGGTTGGCATGTTTCGATGCTTTGGAGTGCTCTTGCTCGACAGCATCGGGGCCCCACTGACAGGGGTGAGCATGCTTAGCGCCGACGCATGCCTGGAGAATCGAAGTCAGTGCGAGAACTTCATTCACATACTTGGTTAATGTGGCTAGCTGGTAATACCACGAAGCTATCATCTGTTGCCATGGTTCGCGTCGTATCACTGAGCGGGCGAGAGGTCGACGTCCGCTGGGGTCCCGAGGACACCTTGGGCGATATCGCCGAGAAAGCCAGAGTGGCACTCGGCACCTGCCGCGGACGGCTTCTCCTCGGCACCGACGTCCTCGACTTCGACAGCAAGATGAAGGATGTGGGGGATGGAGTCCTGACGTTCCAGTCAATTTTGCCCCGCACGCTGGCGAGTTTGAGGGCATACACGATCCTGTACGGCGACGGCACCGCGGAGGCGGTGGGGGACCCTGATCTCGGTGGCCGAGGTGGCGCGCAGGGGGTGAAGGCGGTGCAGTGCACCTGCCAGGCCTTTGCAGCCCTCTTGGATAATGGATCGGTCGTGGCTTGGGGACAGGAACTTGGCGGCGGCGATGCGAGTGCAGATTTTTACGAGGAAGACATCGTGCAGATCCAATCCACCGACACCGCCTTCGCGGCCATAACGATCGACGGCGCGATCGATTGCTGGGGTAACCCGTGCACAGGCGGGTTGGGGCCCCTTCAGCCTGGCGATGATGGTGAACCTGTACGGCTTGACGTGGAGGGAGTGATCGCCATCCAGTCCACTGAGCGCGCCTTCGCCGCGATTCTCAATGATGGCAGCGTCGTGGCCTGGGGTGATGAAGATGCGGGCGGCGACAACCGCCTGGTCCTACCGGCGCTGAAGAATGTCGTGAAGATCCAGGCGACGGCATCGGCCTTCGCGGCCATTATGGCCGACGGTAAGGTGTCTTGGTGGGGTGACCCGGAAGCAGGTGGCGACGGCTTCTGGTCCGAGGATGGGGAGGACCTGTGCGGGGTCGTCGACGTACAGGCCACCAGGTTTGCCTTCGCCGCAATCACGTCCAGCGGCTCCGTGTACGCCTGGGGTCACGAGGCGGCTGGAGGCGACCTGGGTGGCCGCGTCATCACGGACGACGTGGCCATCCAGGCAACAGACCAGGCCTTTGCCGCGATCCTGAAGGACGGCTCCGTGCGGGCCTGGGGCCATGAGACCGGCGGTGGAGACTGCGAGGCCGTGCGGGACCGCTTGGTGAAGGTCCGAGAGATCCAGGCCAACGCCCAAGCCTTCGCGGCCATCTTGGAAGACGGCTCCGTGGTGACCTGGGGCGATGCCGACTTTGGTGGCGATGGGCCGTCATTGCAGAACGTGAGGTGCATCCAGGCCTCGGCAGACGCCTTTGCAGCAATCCTGTATGATGGCTCCGTGGTCACCTGGGGGGATGCCGCGGCGGGAGGAGATAGCAGTGCAGTACAGCATCAGCTGCGGGATGTCGTCCATGTGAGTGCGGGTCTGGGCTTCTTTGTAGCAACTTTGGGCGATGGCACCACCGTACATTGGGGTGCGATCTGAATCCCCTGGCATGGCAACGGCGCCACGGTACAGAGGCGGCGCCTGCCGGTCGAGTTAAAAAGGCGCCCTGTGCTGCAAGTTCGTGAGCCTGCAGTTTGGAGGGCCCTGCCCTCTTGCTCTGCCCAGGTCTCTTCGGCGCGGCGCCTGGACCTTGTCTGTGTCGCCTCTTGAAGTTCGGTATGCTTGTGAAGGGCTGATCTAAATGAATTACTCCCCCTCGCTCCCAGGCCTGGAGTCTTCGGCACGGCTCGCGACGGCTTCGCGCATCGCCTGGGCCCTGGTGCTCTCTTTGCTGCCTCTTCGAAGCCGGCTGGTTGGCATGTTTTGTGCATTCGTCGCAGCTTTGTTGATTTCCCGAGCCCCCCAGCTTCAGGGGTAGGTGCGATGGCGCACTTTCGCCGCTCGCAGGCCGTGAACGTGGTCCTCAGCCCCGCGCTGCCAGACCTGGCTCGGGTCGGCGTTCGCCTCGGCTTGGGCGACTATCCGGCCTGCTGCGACCGCCTGCTGGAGCTCCTGGATCCGAAGCTGTGCTCAGAAACTGACCGGATCGGTGTCCAGCAAGCCAACGCTGAGTTGCAGAGGCTCCGGAACAAGCTGGACCTCCTTCCCGAGTCGGAGCTGTCCAAGGCTCTCCAAGAGGCGCAAGGGGCGCCATCTAACGCGGAGCGGCTGTTTGTGACGCTGCCTTCGCAGTCGGCATCTGCCAAGAGCCGCTCCGTTCTTCAAGGGCGAGGTTTGGGAAGGGGCTCCTCTGCTCCCAAGGCCAGTTTGGACAAGTTCATGAAGCAGATGAGGAATACGACCGAGGTTGCAGAGCCCAGCGAGCCGGTGGTTGCGCAGCCCAGCGAGTCGGTTGCAGAGCCCAGCGAGCCAGCGGTTGCAGAGCCCAGCGAGCCGGTGGTTGCGCAGCCCAGCGAGCCGGTGGTTGCGCAGCCCAGCGAGCCCGCGGTTGCAGAGCCCAGCGAGCCGGTTGCAGAGCCCAGCGAGCCGAAGGTTGCAGAGCCCAGCGAGCCGGTTGCAGAGCCCAGCGAGCCGGTTGCAGAGTCCAGCGAGCCGGAGGTTGCACAGCCCAGCGAGCCCGCGGTTGCAGAGTCCAGCGAGCCGGAGGTTGCACAGCCCAGCGAGCCGGTTGCACAGCCCAGCGAGCCGAAGGTTGCAGAGCCCAGCGAGCCGAAGGTTGCAGAGCCCAGCGAGGCAGTGGTTGCAGAGCCCAGCGAGGCAGTGGTTGCACAGTGCAGCGAGTCGGCGGAGCAGGAATCAGCCGAGGAGCCATCCATTCCGGCCTTTGAGAACGGGAAGCTGGGTGAGCCGCTCAAGGAGTACAGGGACCACGTGGTGGCGAGGCAGGAGTTTGAGCACTACGGCCCGGACTGCCCGCTGGAGGTAGTCCGACGCTTCCGGGAGTGCCTCTATCGCGACGAGAAGGACACGGCGAACTTCAATCCCTACTGGGTCGTGCTGGAGTTCCCCACTCGCACTGGTGTGGGGCCGCTGCCAGAGTGGAACGGCGCGATGGCCTTCTGTCTTCGCGAAGGCGATCCCACGAACTTCCTGCTCGTGAGCAAGAACAAGGGCGTCGCGGTGCGGGCCGAGAACGTCTTCAAGGTGAATGGTGAAGAAGGACTGCCTGCCCCCGCTGTTCTCCGCGATCCTCCAGGCCGGCTGGCAGCGGGGCAACATCCGCATCTTCGACAAGGGGGCCTACTACCAAGCCAAGGACCAGGACGCGGCGGAGTTTTCCCCACGGGCGGCGCTCCGAAGCCTGGAGCACCTCGACCCCGTCGGCTACATGTCCCACATGGCCAAGCTGGAGGACCGCTTCGGAGGCGACACGGCCCTGCGGACTCGCAAGCGCAAGGCCACGACCGAGGATGAGTACATCTACGTGCAGCGGGAGGCCCTCAACAAGCTCCGCAAGGCCGTTGATGAGGAAAGGGAGGCCAAGGCGATGCTTGCGAAGTCCACGCTTTCCATCGCAGACTTCAACTACGAGACCTGCCAGTGCTGGTATTGGGACGAGCCGAGTGGCTGCAAGAAGTCCGTGCCCTTGGACGAGGCCGTCGCCATCGCCATCCAGACGAGGAGAACCATAGTGCTTTACGGGCCTCCAGGTCGAGGCAAATCGCCCTTCGCCAAAGCACTGGCCGGCTGGTACATGCAGCACGTCCTGAAAGGCAAGATCGACGAGATGATCTTCACCGGCACCGTGGACAGCCTCCGCAAGGCGTACCAGTTCAACCTGCTTCAGGGCGGGCGGCCCCTGGTTTTCGATGATCTCCTTGCCAACCGGCAAAACGTGGGGAGCCAAGGAGGAGGGCCGGACTTTGTGAAACAGCTCTTAGGCATCTCCCGGGATGATCGAGCGACTCTCCAGAGTCGCTACGCAGATATGCAGATCCCACAGGATTGCCTGAGAATCATCACGGTTCAAGATGTCGACAAGGTGCACCCGGGGCTCCAGGTCATGCACAGCGCCACGGAAACCCACATCCCCAAGGAGTTCTGCGGGGACTTGCATGACATGCCCATCAAGGAGTATTTCGACGTGGACCGCCGGGCAATCCTCAAGAGGATGGTCGCGATCTTCGTCCCCGATGGCATCCTGAAAGGCGAGGTGCTGGGTGGCCGCGTCGAGTCTGATCAGGAGAACATCGCCAGGCTGCGGGAGCTCTGGAGTAAGACCGTCGGCTGAAGCCGCGGCTGGCACAGCGGTCAGTACAGGACCCCAGCTGTGCCCTTAGGGCCTCAGGGCCTGCGCGTTCGGCGCAGCTCCGTACAGGATCCGCTGCCGCGCCCGTGCAAACAGTTTCGCAGCTTCAAGCCTTGTGTGCCGTGTTGTAGGATGCTGCAGGTCGCTTCTGTGCTTTTTTAGCTCCGTCACTCTGAACCCCTTCGCCTCGCTCAGGTTCGAACCTGCGTCACTGTGCTGGTGCCTCTGTTCAGGGTTTTTTCGGACTTTGCGATTGTGGGGGTTGTTGTTCCGTGCGCGCACAGGAGGGCCCTGCACTGCTTCCCCCATCCCGTAAAGCTAGAGTGCCCTGCGACCCCGGCCCTGTTCCCGGGAACCCCGGGCCCCTGGCCCCTCCACAGGTTCGCGGATGCCCGCTTCTATCTCAGGCAGGTCACTTCCACACTTTCCAGGTTTTCCAGGGTTTCCAGGGGGGTCTTGGGAGGGACCACAGGCCACCCTGGAAAGCATGGAAAATTGAGTCTAGGAGCTTCATTTTTCCACGCTTTCCACGTTTTCCAGGGTGGCTTTGGGCCCTCCCAAGACCCCCCTGGAAAGCGTGGAAAATTGAGTCTAGGAGCTTCATTTTTCCACGCTTTCCACGTTTTCCAGGGTGTTCGGAGTTCGCTTTTGAACCCTATCCTTCCAGCCCGATTCTGGTGTCTAGGAGCTTCATTTTTCCACGCTTTCCACGTTTTCCAGGGTGTTCGGAGTTCGCTTTTGAACCCTATCCTTCCAGCCCGATTCTGGTGTCTAGGAGCTTCATTTTTCTACGCTTTCCACGTTTTCCAGGGTGTTCGGAGTTCGCTTTTGAACCCTATCCTTCCAGCCCGATTCTGGTGTCTAGGAGCTTCATTTTTCCACGCTTTCCATGTTGGCTTTTTGGGCCCTCCCAACACCTCCCTGGAAACCCTGGAAAACCTGGAAATGGTGGAAGTGACCTGCCCGGCATTGAGGCCTGGGCTTGTTCAACTCGGCGAGCCTTCAGCGGTGATCGTCCGGAGCCCAGGTCCCGTCGTGCTTAGCAGCCTTGTGCAGCCTTGTGCAGCCTCACACGTACCTTGCGCGAGTTTTGTGCCCTCTCGAGCTTTAGCCCCGACTCGTAGCTGCGTCATGGCCTGGAACCTCGTCCTGAAGTTCCTGACGGAGACGGCCGTGGAGCCTGTCGAGCACCCGTTTCTCAACAATGGCGTGATCGGAGAGCCGGATATCGACCTTGCCCTCGACCACGTCGACGTCTTGTCTCAAGTGGCTGCCTGCGATGCTGACTCCCGTCGCGAGCTGCAATCCCCTCTTGCGGATTGGCGTGCGGCGCTGGGGCGCATGACTTCGACCGAGATCGGCCAACGTTTGTCCTTCCTCGGCGAGCACCCACTGCGGGGACGGCTGTTGGCAGCAGCGGAGCGGGTTCGAGGGCTGCGTGGGGACGCTGCAGCCCGACAGTTCGCTTGGAATGTTGCCGATGCCACGTGGCGCGATCCTTCAATTCTCTTGAGGTACGAGGCGGAGTTAGGGCTGGTGGAGACCGAGCTGGATGTGATGGAGTCTGAGCCGTCGGGACCGCCGTAGGGGTGCTGTGCAGTTGCTGTCCCTAGCAGGTCTAGCGTGTTCGACGTACAGGAACCGAGCACCCAGCGTACAGGCTGTGCACAAAGTCCTGCCGCTTTGCCTGCTGTGTGCGCGCATCGGCATGTTCTGCAAGCTGGCCCTGCGCCCAGGTCGGTTCGACGTCTTCCAGGTTCGTGTGGTCTGCAGCCCCTGGTTACCTTAAGTCCCGAACCCCCAGGCCCGAACCCTCTAGAACCCTTCATCCCTACTAGGCTGCCCTGCTCGGGCGGCAAGTCTACGGCGGCGCCGTGGGCCCGGGGTTGAAATCTCTAAGCTGCCGCACCGCTAACGGCACCGGCCGCCGAGTCAGCCGTGCTTTAGGCTCCGCGGAGCCGCGGGGCACCGGAAGCGCATGCTTCAGCAGGGTCTCCGAGCCGTCCGTGGCTCGCACCGTCATCGAGTCGTAACTCGAAACCTCCCGCACCGCCCCGTACTGGGGCTGGAAGCTCCTCGCTGCATTGGTGGGGGCCCGGAACGCCCCCGCCTCCTCGAGCCGCCGCTGACGGCTCCTCGTCAACTCATCGTTATGTTTGAACTTGGCCGCGTTATCCTGGTAGGCCCTGAACCCTGCGGCCGGCATCGTCTCCACATCCTCGGGCGCCACGGTCACCGCCGCGTGCGGCCGGGCGTTGTAGGCCTCCGTAGCTTCGTCCACGTGGTCGCCCCACCCACCGCCGTGTCGTGCCGCCTCGCCCGCCAAATCCTTCTTCAAAGTCTGAATCGCGCGGTCCACCACCGCGGTCGCATTGCGATCCGTCGGGTCCTTCTGCCGGTGCACCACGCCCCCCGGCAATGCCGCCTCAAGCCCCCGGAACTCGTTGCCCAGATCCGTGGTGACGACGTAATTCGACTCGTCCTGCACCAGCCGGGGGATGATCTCCGCCGCCGCCCGCGTCACCGTCGCGGCCGACTTGTCGGGCAGGGCCTTCGTGGCCATCTCGCGCGTGAACACATCAGTCGCCACCAAGCCAAATTTGTTGGCTCCCCGAGTGTTCTGGCTGAAATCGATGAGGTCCGCTTGCAGGCGGTCGTTCGGCCCCTCCGCCGCACTCTTCCCCAGACTCCGCGGCTTCGGTGCGAGCACCTGCCGCGCCACGTCGCTGCGCAGGGCCGCCTGGGCCCGCGCACTCGTGAGGTCCCGCCGCTCCGGAAACTCCCGGCGGGCTATCTGGTAGAGCTTGCGGGGATCCCGCACGTTGAAGTCCCGGGCCAGCCGCCCGAGCAGCTCCATCGCGCCGTCCTCTGCCATTTCTAATCCGAGTCGCCCTCGCTCCCCTTCTTCTTTTCAAGTTTCTCCACGCGCTTCTGCAGCTTCTTGACCACGCCCCACAGCACCACGCTGAGCTTCTGATAGTCCAAAGCCATCAGCTCCCGGCCGTCCAGGTTCTTGGTCTTGCACATCGTCGCCCCCAGCTTCCCGCTGGCCTGCACGTCCTGGGCCACGAAGCCGATCTGTTCCTTACCGCCGTCGATGCGGTCGAAGAGCTGCGGCTCCACCGCATCGAAGGTCTCTTGCAGCTCCTTCTCCGGGATGGCCCGGACGTTCTCCTTCAGGGCCCGGTCGCTCAGGTTGACGAAGCCGTAGCCGAAGATGACCTCTCCATCATTCGATCCCCCGATGTTGGGTTCGATGGCCAAATTCGCCAGGCCGTTGGTGGTGTTGAAACTCATGAACTGAAACAAGGTGTTGAGCTGCACGCCACCCCCGGCCAGGGCCTTGAGCTCCGCCAAGCCGGTCTGATTGTTCGCGTCGAGGAGCAGCTGGGCATCGCCCGTCGGCGCTGCGTTCCGGATCACCGTGCCCACGGTGCCGTCCGGCGGCCCCACGGCGATTTGCTCCAGCAAGGGGGCGAGGACCTGCACGCCGCTGGTGCCCCCCGACAAGGACAGAAAGGGTAGCGACGCCTCGGGGGCCACGGCCCCGTTGACCCGCAGGGTGGCGTTCACCAGCACGCCCTGCGTTCCCCCTTCGATGCTGAGCCAGGGGTCCGCCGGGTCGCAGCGCACCAGGGGCGCTTCCAGGCGCAGGTTGCTCGCCACCTGCAGGTTCGCGGTGACGCTGCTGCTGGAGTTGAAAGTCCCCGTGGCCGCCGTGGAGCCCACGAAGAACTGCGCGAAATCCGCGGTGGTCGCGTTCAGCGTCTTCGCCGCGTTGACGGTGATGTCCTGGTCCAGCGTGATCCCGGCGGCGGCGAAGGAGGCCAGGGGCGTGTTGTCGATGGCCCTCAGCACGATCGGCGTGCCCCGGAGCTCGGGGGTCTCCACGAAGCTTGCTGGTGCTCAGCAAAGAGCCAAAGAGCCAACAGCAGTCAACAGGGTTCGTGCGCGCAGGTGCTTACGATGGCTTTTCTTGAATGAAAAATCGCAGTGCTGCGACAAACAGGAAAACCGTACACAGCTCGCTCTGCGTTCCCAAACCACTGTCCGAAATAGACAACAATTACTAATTACTAATTACCCGTCTGGACAATGCCCGGACGTTTGATCCAGAAACGACACACTCGCAGGGTAATTACTGCACGGGGAAACATTTCTAAGCACACCGCTCGTGCCCTAAACCTGTAGAAGCCATACCGCAACACTTACACACTCACAACTTATTCTTTGGACAAACCATGGTCGTGAAACATGTCCAACATCTTGAAAGAGACGTGCTCGCGGTGCACCGTACGCCGTACACAGTAACTGTTGTCTTGGAGCCCTGCGAAACGAGATCAGGGGAAGCATGGGGGAGGACTTATAGCTTGACTAATTAAGCTCGTCTACACGTCAATATGCTGCGAAGCTTCCATAGATCCTGCGCGTGAACGTACAATATGTGTGTCTGAACCCCTGCGTCAGGAGTGAAGCGACGCACGTCTCTTCGTGCGCCAAGTGGGTTCGAGCAGGTCGTAGATCTGACATGTCGGGATCCCGCCAGCAAGCTCAGGACAAGAGTGCGGTGCATAGTTTCAGCGGTTTTGCGTGCTGCACTGGTGCAGGGGAAGTGCCACGACGCCGCAAAAACCAGAGAGAAACGAGGTCTGCGACAGAGCATGAGAAGACAGTGCAAGAGGCAAGAGAAACAAGAGAGAGAGAGAGAGAGACAAACTCTTCGACGGAGTTACTACTGCACCGGTACAAGAAAAGCGACAAGAAAGCGCCAAGTAAGCAATGAAAGCTTGGCGACGGAACACCGCTGGCTTACCACTTTGCTACTGCTGCAACAGATTGTCAGCTCGGGTCAAGACAACATGCCATCAGAGGGTATCAGCGGCAGCCTTCATTGGGAAAGAAATACTTTGCACTTCGAATGTTGTTAACATCTGGGAAATGTGCCCAGATGTCGAGCGAATCTCCTATCAAGCAGGCACGGC